TCTTGCAAGGGTTTTAAAGTAAATGCCTCATCGCCGACGACGATGTGGCGTTGACCGTCGGTGTAACTGTAGCCTGGTACTAAGAGACATGCTAGATTTATGTCCTTACCTGCGATAATATCGCGTCGAACGGAAGGAGAAACTAGTTCTATGTGTGGCAGATTTTCAGAAGGAGTCCCACGCGAGCGCAGCAAGTTGTTCTCAAAGGTAGCACTAGCGTCGACAGCCTGGGAGCCGCCATCTTGAAAATGTTCAACGGAATTGTTGTGGTGTGACGTCATTGCTTGATTGTCGACCTCTGACCTCTGGACGTTTTGCAGTTGAACCGTGCGGGTCAGGTTAGCGATCGACAATTGTAACTCCTTAAACATAGCCATTGTAACGGGTCCGTCTTGACTCTGGGTTGGCGAATTTATCGCAAATGAAGTGCTTGCAGTTGGTACTTGGGCGTCCTCAACTTGCTGTGGAACCAACGCGTCCCGTTGTGCTGGTAGCGAGATCGTAGTTCCTGAAATGTCCACATTCCTTGTTTCGGCAGCGAGTTGATCCAAAGAATTACGAGTTGCTGCTCTAGTCACTGGTCTGATGTAAGGCTGGACACGGGGCTGAGTAGATTTCTTTGCACGTCCACGCCTAGCTGGCATTGTAGATTAATTAAGTAGTGTTCTCGAACAAAGAATGAAATGGACGTAATTGACGATAATGCACTGTGCACTGTAGCGTGATAAAAAAAAAACTGAATGAATGAGTGGTAACAAAGAGACAAAAGAAATTTAGGTGACGCTAAGTGTCGTGTGCAAGTGAGAACTGATTGGCTGCCAAATTAAATTAAGCGCTTAATTAAACAGGGTTGCAAAGACTATCTAAGGGGTGCTAAGCAAATCCTCCTAGCAGTGAGCTAAGTGTCCCTACAAAATATATCTGTGACAACACAGATCTCACTTAATTTTGATAATTAACTATATTTGTTAATAATATCAGCAAGGTCAAGGTTTCAGTAGCTTTGCCATGTTTATAGTATCAACCTTTGATTAATTCTCATCTGTATATCTATACTTTGACTAAAATTGTATATAAAAGGAGAGGAAAATATTATATTATATAATTTTGACTTTCACAAAATTGTTTGAATCAGTATTTTGATTTGGCCTTCTTGGCTGGTGACCAGTCTTTTTTCATAAAATACATTCAAAAATGTTGTTACCTCATATGCAATGAAAAAATAATTTATTTATTAAGTTGAATAAAAATTTATAAAAATATGCAAAAACATTGAAAAGTATTGTTTGAAGTATTAGTCTTAGAAACCGATACATGCAAATTACTGAAAAGGAAACAAATAAAAATGAAACAAAATTATACTACATCTGATCAGAGCAGTGCATCGTACTTATATGTATAATAAAATAATCTATTGTGTCATTTAAGGACTGGATGTACTTACATAATTTGTTTCATATTTTTCAAACATTTTGGTTAAGACCTGTAGATAATAGGAAATTATATCTATTTGAGCTAAAATTCTCAGGAAAACATGGAAAAATTTGCTAAATATAGCACCAATAATTTTGGCGGGAAAAATGTTGGCATTAGGAAAGTTGCACTTGGTAAGCACTATGAAGTGTGATTGACGTTGGGGTTCTGAGAAATAAAGTTATTTTGTTATTGTTTTTTTTGTCTTTATTTAAATATAAGTTAAATAAATTTCATCTCCTGTATTCATATTTAGTTTTCTAATTATTAATATGTAAATTTCTATCACAGGTGAGAGTGGTTCTGGTAAAACCGAAGCTTCCAAGATTGTCATGAGATATATTGCTGCGGTCACAAACGTCAGCGGTAGATCAGAAGTTGAAAGGTATGCAAAATTCTC